GATGAGCGCCTTCCTTCATTGTTTCGTTTTCCCTGGTGTTAGAGAATTTAGCCTGCAAGATATTAGCTATCGTGCGCGCGTGTGTTTCTCTTCTGCCCTGCTTTTTTTTTTTTTTTTTTGAGGATGGAGTCTCACTTGCGTTGGCGGGCTGGAATTCAGTGGTGTGGATATCGGCTCACTGCAACCACCGCCTCCCAGGTTCAAGTGATTCTCCTGCCTCAGCCTCCAGAGTAGCCCGGATTTAAGCGCCGAACCACGTACATTGTAACACTACATGTGGCTAATTTTTTGTATTTTTAGTAGAGATGGGGTTTCACCATGTTGGCCAGGCTGGTCCCGAACTCCTGACCTTGTGATCCGCCCGCCTAGGCCTCCCAAAGTGCTGGGATTACAGGCGTGAGCCACCATACCTGACCTCTCTGCTTTTAATGACAATCCATTCATTGTGTGCTTGATTTTCAGCAAAATTATACCTATTTTTCAGATGGGCTGGATATAATTTCTTCATCAGCCCCTGTCATTAGTTCTCCATAGCACAAAACTCTTATGGTTTACTTTTTTTTTTTTTTTTTTTGCTAGATTGTAAGCTCCATATACCAGGTAGCTATTGGGCCAATGTTGCATCACAGAGACTGTAGGCCAGTAAAAGTTTTTGTTTCAGGAGATACACTTCCATGAAGAGGAGAACTCAGAAGTGACTACTTACAAGTTTCTTGATATCCACATAGATGTCTACACTCAATAGGTACATGCAATCAATTCTTTTTCAGAAAAGTTTGTGTGTGGGTAGACTAAACTTTTATTAACCAAATATGTTTTTAAATGTACTGAGAGAATTCTAGGAATCTAATAACACTTAATTATATGACAAATTGATTTTTTTATGTGAAAAATGCTTTGGTAATATGAAATAATCAAATTGTGACTTTTCTGCTTTTTCAGTTTACTTTTTCATAGGTTGGATTTATTGAAGCGTTGTACAACTGTGTATGTATACCTCACTCACACGATGAATGGGTTTCTATGTTGTCAATCAATTTTTTCATAAATATGTAACCACTGAATTCTGAGATATAGTTTAGGTAACTTTTACATTGAAAAAAACAAAGATCTTGGAAAATTATTAAAACGTTTTAATATAAATGCAAAATGCTTATTGAAAGAAATAAAAAAATATTTTAAGAATCAGGTATTAACTAAATTACTTTATCAACAGGAAGTACTATTCCAAAACTCTAATATGATATGTAGAGTGCTAGGGAGATGCTTACTTATTTAATCATGAAACCTACCTTTAATTGATGTCTTTAATGTAGGTTGTAACACCCATTTCTAGAGCAGTAATTATCATTATCATCTCTCTCTATTTCCTTCCAGCCCCCTTCTAGGTATTGTTGAGCTGACCTGCTTGTTCATGATCTTCTGAACCCGTGCCTGCTTGTACTTAGTAGAAAACAAACTAATGTAAGCTGAGAAAGGGAGAGATAATAAGAGGTGGATACGAAAACAGCAAGATCCTAGAGAAAGGCCCAGGGAAAAAGGGTTACCTTGGCAACGTGAAATACTGTGAGGAAAATGACTCAGGCCCACAGCAACAGGAAATGCATCAAGCCACACCATGACCAGAGGAACCACTTAAGAAGCAGACAATGATTCAGCTTGGGTGAAAGTCAAGTAATGAACAGGCTACACTTCACTTTCGCATCTCTAAGAGGCACTGTCCGCGGTTCACCTGCTCGCTGCCCAGCGATCTTCCCGGCGCAGAGCTGCTTACCTCCGCCAGGTAGAACTCGTCGTACTGCCTCCTGAAGTTCTCTCCTTTGTAGTAGTTGCTAGCCGCCACGATCACGTCGACGGTCACCATGCTCAGGATGAACATGTGGAAAACCGATGATCGCATCATTTTCTGAGGGGGTAAAACAGACAGACTCTTAACAAAGAAATAAACCTCATGATTAAATGTAATGGACGGGCCTAGGCCTTGGCTGACAGCACATTGGTGATGTGCTGCTCTGCAAAACAGAACTTCCAAGATAAAGCCATCCATGTGCCGTACTGCTGAACTGGGCGGGCAAGAGAACCTTCCTTTCAGGCAGCTAAATAATGACTAGGAAGATGGTTTCAGAGACTTTTGACTAAACATGGAAAATAAGTATCTCTTAATTTGTGTATAACTTGCATCTTAATTTTTTAATCGGTTGATTGGGTAGTATTTATCCTTAATTCTGACTGTATGGATAAATGGCTTTTAAAAAGCTAGTAACACAAAACAAGTATTACTTTATTCTGTGTTAAGGGAGAATACTGTGGATAAAAACATTTTAGAGATGATTATTATACAACGGGAGAAGTAGGAGAAACCTAAGATTTGTTTTTTTACTTATTACTTCCAAAAATATTTGTTGAAAATTTTACTACAACTTCTAGTAACTGACATCTACATTGTACTTGCTATCTACGTGGAGTTTTTCTAGGTGCTTTACATAAATTAACTCATAACAGCCCTAGGAACGTATTCTAATAAGGAAACTGAGGCTCAAAGAAGCTAAATAACTTTCCCACTGTCACACAGGGATTGAAGACACTCAATACTGGAACCCAAGTCTGGTCCAAGTCTGTCTACTGCCTACGTTAAGACAGAGATAATTAAACATTAAAAATTAATGAGTATTATTATAAAGATTATCATATATTAAATGGCTACTATGTTCCAGGCCATATTATTCACATTAAAATATTTGTGGGTACACAGTGTGTGTGTGTGTGTGTGTGTATGTGTGTGTGTATATATATACACACATATATATATATATTTTTGTATGGAGTACATAAGATGTTTTGATACAGACATGCAATGTGGAATAAGCACATCATGGAGAATGATGTATCCTTTGAGTTAGAAACAATTACATTACACTCTTTAAGTTATTTTAAAATGTACAATTATTATTATTGACTGCAGTCACCCTATTGTGCTATCAAATAGTAGGTCTTGTTTATTCTTTCTATTTTTTTTGTTCCTATTAAACATCCCTACTTCCCCCCAGCCCCCGAGTACCCATCCCAGCCTCTGGCAACCATCCTCTACTCTCTCTGTCCATGAGTTTGATGACGTTGATTTTGTGATTCCACAAATAAGTGAGAACATGTGATGTGTGTCTTTCTGTGCCTGTCTTACTTCGCTTAACATAATGATCTCCAGTTCCATCCACGTTGTTACAAATGACTGGATCTCGTTCTTTATTATGGTTGAATAGTACTCCATTATGCATATGTACTGTATTTTCTTCATCCATTCATCTGTTGATGGACACTTAGGTTGCTTCCAAATCTTGGCTATTGTAAACAGTGCTGCAGCAAACATGGGAGTGAAGATTTCTCTTAGATATACTTATTTCCTTGGGTGTATGCCCAGCAGTGGGATTGCGAAATTACAGCAGCTCAATTTTTAGTTTTTTGAGGAAACTGTTCTCCATAGTGGTTGTGCTAGTTTACATTCCCATCAACAGTGTACAAGGGTTCCCTTTTCTCTGCATCCTCACCAGTATTTATTATTGCCTGACTTGTGAATATAAACCATTTTAACTGGGGTGACACGATGTCTTATTGTAGTTTTCATTTGCATTTCTCTGATGATCAGTGATGTTGATCACCTTTTCATATGCCTGTTTGTGTCATTTGCATGTCTTCTTTTGAGAAATGTCTGTTCAAATCTTTTGCCCATCTTTTGATTAGATTATTAGATTTTTCCTATAGAGTCATTTGAGGTCCTTATATATTCTGGTTATTAATACTTTGTCAGAGTGGTAATTTGCAAATATTTTCTTGAATTCTGTGTGTTGTCTCTTCACTTGGTTAATTGTATTTTTTGCTGTGCAGAAGCTTTGTAACTCGATGTAATCCCATTTGTCCATTTTTGTTGTGGTTGCCTGCGCTTATGGGGGTATTGCTCATAAAATCCTTGCCCAGTCCAATATCCCGGAGATTTTCCCCAGTGTTTTCTTATAGTAGTTTCATAGTTCGAGGTCTTAGCTTTAAGCCTTTAACCCATTTTGATTTGATTGACAGAGATAGAGGTTTAGTTTCATTCTTCTGCATATGGATGTCCAGGACCATTTTTTGAAGAAACTGTCTTTTCCCCAGTGTATGTTCTTGGCATCTTTGTTAAAAAGGAGTTCACTGTAGGTGTGTGGATTTCTTTCTGGGTTCTCTCTTCTGTTACATTGGTCTCTGTGTCTGTTTTTATGGAGGTACCATGGCGTTTTGGTTACTATAGCTTTGAATTATAAATTGAAGTCAGGTCATGTGATTCCCCCAGCTTTGTTCATTTTGCTTAGGATAGCTTTGGCTCTTCTGTGGTTTCATATAATTTTAGAATTTTTTTCTATTTCTGTGAAGAATATCATTGGTATTTTGATAAGGATTTAATTGCATCTGTAGACTGCTTTGGGTAGTATGAACATTTTAACAATATTGATTCTTCCAATCCATGAACATGGAATATTTTTCCATTTTTGGTGTCCTCTTTGTTTTCTTTCATCATTGTTTTATAGTGTTCATTATAGAGATCTTTCAATTTTTTTGTTAATTGCAAGGAATTTTATTTTATTTGTAGCTACCATAAATGGGATTACTTTCTTGATTTCTTTTTAACATTGTTTGCTGTTGGCTTATAGAAATGCTACTAATTTTTGTATGTTGATTTTGTATCCTGCAACATTACTGAATTTGTTCATCAGTTCTAATAGTTTCCTTGTGGAGTCTTTAGGTTTTTTCCAAATGTAAGATCATGTCATTTGCAAAGAAGGATAATTTGACTTCTTCCTTTCCAATTTGGATGCCCTTTATATCTTTCTCTTGTTCTATTTTTCTAGCTGGGACTTCCAGTACTATGTTGAATAACAGAGGTGATAGTGGGCATCCTTGTCACGTTCCAGATATTAGAGGGAAGGCTTTCAGTTTTTCCCCATTGAGTATGATACTAGCTGTGGGTCTGTCATATACGGCTTTTATTATGTTGACATGTTTTTTTCTATCCCCAGTTTTGTTGACGGGTTTTACCATGAAGAGATGTTGAATTTTGCCAAATGTTTTTTTAGTATGAATTGACATGATCATATAGTTTTTATCCTTCATTCTGTTGATAGGCTGTGTCACATTGATTTATTTCCATATGTTGAATCATCCTTGTATCCCAGGTATAAATCCCACTTGGTCACAATCCATATTATTCATATTTTATTTGTTTTATCTACTTTAATATCCACCATAGCTCTATATGGTGAGATATGTTACTCACATTTCACACAGTTCAGAGAGACTAAGTCATTTTTCCAAGGTCACACAGCAAGTACACAACAGAATCAGGCTCTTACCCTAGTCTATTTAAAGTCCATTCTGGGGCCCACTGCCCACTGTGGGGTAGAGAATACTTACACGGAGAGAGTGGGGGCTGAAAGCCCTGGGCAGCAGAAACAGGAGACAGAAGCAGACCTATGGGAAGGAACTGAGTGCAAACAACACACCGCTGAGCCACATCTGCCCAGGGACTAGTGCCACCACACATCCTCTTTCTGAGGTTTCATTTCTTCTGGGTATTTACGAACATATGGCCTTACTATCTGATCTGACCTGAGAATCCTTTAGTCCTTGCAACTCAAAGAGCCTAGCTAAAGTACAGCCTTAAAATAGGGTAAGAGAACAAGAACTGCCTCCTCTGAGCACTGCCAATGTCTCTATGACTCTATGTATGTGTTTCATGGAGTCATCCTTATCCTACAGCATGGGCTCTGGGCCAAACTGCCTGAAGCTGAGACTCCACCACTTACTGGCACTGTGGCCTCAGGGAGGTTACTTAAACCTCTGTTTTCTCATTGATAAAGTGGAGAAAATAGTACCTACTCCAAAGAGTTGTTACTAATTTTAAATGAGTCGATATTTGTAAAGGGCTTCGAATGGTGATTACACTTACAAATATTCTACAAAGGTTTACAGAAAAAAGGAATGCAATTTCATGAATCAAGCATTTTTTCTGTTCAGGAATGAGAAAGTAATTACCCGAGGTCGAAGAATTAATTATGTGGCATATCAAAGTCCAGAATCTAGTGAGGTAAGAAACATTGACAAGGATCTAATAATTTGAGGCATGCCAGTGACATTGGGAAAGTAGATTTTTATTAAGGCTTCCTGTCACTGTGGCTATTGATGCATATTCATTTGCCTTTGACTTTATTTTACAGGTGATACAAAATCAAATTCTAGAGCTGCCAATGAACATGTTTATATGCACATCAATTTACTTGCAGGAATGATTGACCTTCATCACACAGATAGGCAAATTATCTGGCACGCTTCTATGCGCATTAAAATTTTTATTGTTATTTAGTCTTTCTTGCATTGTGAGAGTTAAATTCCATAACTATTATTCCTTTTCTATACTCCTTTCAGCATAATGTTCTATTAAAAACATTTCTGCTGATTTCCATTTCATCTGCATGGCAGAAAAGCCACAACTTTCTTTTTCTATTTTCCTTAACTGTGGATTTATGTCTTAAGTAAACTGTTATTACTGAAAGATCCAAACAAAGCTTTTAGCCATGGCTGTCAAGAAACTTTTAAATTGGGTTTGTAACTGTCACAGCTTCACTTTGGTGCTGTCATTATAATTAGGTTGTTTTTTGTCTGAAAGTCTACGTGTCCCTGTTGGTTCAGAGTTATTAAAATAATCACTTACAATGGATTTTGATACACTATAATCACCATTGTTTAGCTGACTTTCTCCAAAGCAGTAACTTTCAAATATTAAATAAGAATTAAGGTGATAAATATGTGCAGTACCTACATTTAAATATTAAAATCAGTAACTCCAGTGTTAAAGTTAGAGCTAGTGGCATGGCCCACTTCAAC